TAGTAAGTAGTAGTACGTAAGGGTAAAAGGTAAAAGTTAAATTAGTATAGTAGTAACTAATATATATATATATATATATATATATATATATATATATATATAGCAAATACATAGACGGAGCGGCAAGACATACAGCTGGCAGCAGAATATCAACCGGCGCCTCGTCAAAGTATAGTGTGAAAAGTTGCACCAGACCCTTCAGCACGGTTCTATTTGTGTGAACAAGATGCGAAGGAAGATAAAAAGTGTGAGATTGGTTATTCGTGATATACGTTTAGGTTTACCCTAGTGCTTTAAAACCGGATCCTAAGGGTGGAATTCAGGTTGGTTTAGATCAATCGCCTGGGTGTCTCTGGAAAAGCTGTCACCGTCTCACGTCGAGGCTAAATATCAAACCCTTTACCTTTAAAAATCCAAAACCCGAACCCTTTAAAATCGTGATCGGTGTTGAGGTTCGATCAATAACTGCCCATGGTACAATGGAGCAACTACAGAAATACGTTGGACGGGCCGGGTTATGCACACTTAGTACGTGACACATCTGAACCAACCACACATACGTAATACTATAACCCTACTGTATACCGTTGATGTGAAGTGAGATCACACCACCCGACTTACGAAGGGAACAGCTTGCCAATGAAGCCAAGGCGAGAAAAATGAATCATAAAGAATTCACGCCTCCTGGTGGTGACGTAGTACATGATATACTTGAACCAGCCCTCCGTTGTGATCACGTCATCCTCGAGCTGTATCCGAGGTGACAATATTGTTATAGAGAAACGAAAATGGAGTTGAATTATGATCAAATTCAAGTTGAGATTAACTGGATGCGGAACTTCTGAAAGTGGCAATTTGGGCCAGATCTCGCCAACTATATTCGAAAACCCATAGGCCGCTGGACATGAGTGGACAAAACAGCGGTGCTATTAATACTCTGCAATATGGTGTAGTACACTAAGTAATGAGGTGCAGAAACAAACCTCACCTGTAAGTAATACGTTCCTCTCGTCCGACTATATTCCATCAGCAATGCGAAGTCCAAACACTGCTTTGACCGCCAATAGGTACGCTCCTTGGAATCACCAAAGCGGTCCTTGAGGTCGTGCAAATCCGGGAAGTAAGATTCCGGAGGCGCCTGGATGATCTCCAACACCCCAGTATCGAGGAATGCCCCGAACCTTCCTTGTACCTGCGACACATGACGGCCACGCAGAGTTGATGGTTGGCATATCTCAACACGTGTGTTGTATGTATGGGTTTGTATGCATACGTGCATATGCATGTGGTGTATCAGCCCTACTGGGCTCCTGTGCACGACCTTTATATACATTTCACCACGTATTTTCCAAAGCAGAGCCAGATAGTAGCTGAATTGCAATGCATATCCGTTCTCGCGCTATGCTACAATATAGACGAAATTGCCACTTGTATACAGATATTCCGAAATACAAGTAGGTAGATTTGAATTCTACCTACCTCTTCTATCGTTATCTGGGCTTTAGTCCTGTCCAGGTCACCAACCAGCACTACGATCAGCAACGAGCCCGATTCATCGTTTTCTAAAGTTACGAGAAGAGATTCCAGAGTCTTCAGTAGATAATTGTGCTTCGCTCTTCTGATCGTCGGTATTCCTACAACGAGGTCCCTGCTCAAAGGAATAAAAAATGAGTACTTGGTAATAAAAAGAAACGTCTGGGTCATGGCCATATTGGAAATAGATAGAAGTTGATATCGCCGCACATAATTGTAAATATCGATTTATGCAAATATGTATGTACGTTCATATATATATATATATATATATATTATATATATATATATATATGTGTGTGTGTGTGTTGTGTGTGTGTGTGTGTGTGTGTGTGTGTGTGTGTGTGTGTGTGTGTGTGTGTGTG